CCAGGTGCAATAATATAAAAATTAACCGATTTCAAATGTTTCCCTCACAGGCAAATTTTGGCTTTAAAGAGTACAACCGTCCAGCTATAATGGTATCATAAAAAGACGAGCGTTTTTATTTGATTATTATATGCAATGCAATATAGATATTAAAGCCAATTGGCCGTTGCGTCCTTATGCGGATTCAGGCTTTTTTAGCGTGAAACTAAGTTAATCGATCGTGTGCGAACTACTTTTCCACTTTAGGCCGACCTTCGAGCGATATTAGAATTCTTGTAAATCCGGGCGAACTCGGCCTCTCTTTTCTAATATTGGTAACATTTGCCTGCACGCGAGGCATAAGTGCATTTATCCTGTAAACTAGGACAAATTGGAAATGTCACATAACGACGAGGACATCAACGATGATATTGAAGACAACGGTGTCGAGGTTGCAAAGAGTCAACATTCTGTTTTCGGTCGTTTTCGCATTAACTTAAAAAAACCGAATCTTTAAATATGAACATATAAATTATCACGGATTTAAAATTGCTTGAATGTGTTTACGTTTGTTTCTATTACTAAGATTATCATGTAAACTTACGTTTATATGCCTTATTATGGAATTTCTAGATTTAAAAAATGACATATATTTATTATCATATTACACATGCGCGTATGTATGTAAAAGTGAAAAAAATTCATACGTCACATTAATACGATACATTGTTTCATTTAATTAATAGGAAAATGAGCTTTGTTCGATATTGTGTCGTTATTTAAATTCATTATTTATACGTATTACTTGTAAATTTAATTTATTACTAGGCATTTATGATAGAAAGCATCCTGCTTTAATAAGATTCATGATGGTTTCATAATATTCAAAAGATAGACTTTTTTTTAACTTGAACACCGATAGTGCCACTCGAACTTCTTCTTCGGCATGCATCTTGGCATCCATTTAACCTGTCCCTTCAACTAACACTTGGACTCCTTTTCTTCAACGCTTTGAGTAACCTTTTTACGGAAAAATTACGCAATGATCATTTGAACTTATAAAGAATAAATCTTGACTATTTTCTTTAGCGATTCATTATTTGTAAATATTTGTCGTGAGAACTTCAATTGTCTTTGATTGAAGCTTTCTTTATATTGAAAAACGATTTATCTTCCCTAGATAAATTCAATTGAATTGTTAATTTTGATTCTCCGTACTGCAATAATTTATGATATTGATGCAAATATATGAGTAGATAATAATTTTAGTTAGAAAATTTGTGTGTGTGCGACAAAGAGTAAGAGAGAGAGAGTGAGAGAGAGAGAGTGTGTGTGTGTAAAAAATAAAAAAAAGGAAGGTTTCTAAACTTAACTGTAGCATAAGTATGCATTTTAAAGGTTTGTACGTTGTTCTCTATTTCCGATAATCTATAATTACTGTAAATGGGGTAGACCAATAAGAATCATTATTATTCTAGTTTAAATAATAGTAATATTGTCTTTCTAAATATTCAATGATTTGTGTCACACTCGTATTTTCCTTTTCATCTTACAATTAGAAGTATACTTTAAGTATCATCTAGACTGAAAAACTTTCGATATCACTTTGATAAATAGTATTATAACATTCAGCGCTATAAATTTTCTAAGTAAAATTGATCTGCACATTAGATAACTAACAATCTTCTACCTATCAATCCGTATCAATACATATAAAGTTTTATAAATTGCAAATATAATAATTAAGAAAATAAATATGTTCATAATATTCACTTACTATTAAGTTAAATCAAACTGTGCAGTTAAAATCTATCTAAAAACTAGATATTTCAAGATATCATGCAAAACATCTTGTTATTTGGCATTGTTTGCTTAACTTTATTTTTATAATAAAAAATTTAATTTTTATTTTTATTTCGAACTTATTTGGCATGCTGCCTAATATTCGAAAATAATCATCGGATTTCCTCCAATTTTCATTACAAGAATCAACTGCCTTTTGAAGAACAGACATCTTCAGACATCTTCAAAACTTCTTTCGTCGATTTTCCCACAGCAAGTACTTGTAAGATAATGAATGTCAAGATGCATTGCCTCTCTCGTCTTATCGTGAAAATCAAGCGGCAAACGCCAACTTTGTGGCTTGCATAAAGCGAAGTTTTGCTCTTTGCAAACTTTGAGCGTAGTCACTCTGATTTGCTTTTTGTTTAAAACATGTATTCAGATATACAATATATAATATACATATATGTATATTGTAGAAATCAATTGATATTTATATAATTTTACAATATCTTTTAGTGTAATTAATCAACGGTGTGATAATCGATAAGTAAAAAAAAATAAGAAAGTTGTATTTATTATTACATCATATATTTAATTACATAATATTGTATATTTATATACAATATTATTTGTTTAAATTGTTAAATATACATCACCATATAAATATACTATAATCATATCTATATAAAGTGATAGACTATTATTTCTTACATATTTTATTGCTCACAATATTTACGAATATGTAATACGGATCCGTGTTTTCGGTCCATGCATTTCGTAATCTTGTATCCGTGATAAAATAATCGATCAGCATATATTGCGTAATGAAAAACATTAACGAGTCTTTCTCGCATTTGCGATAACCAGCAACATATGCGAAAATCGCAATATTTTGCAAAAAGCATGACTATCCGAAAACGCAGATTTGACATTGTCATACATGTTTGCATTTTGCTGATTTTAAGAAAACAATAGAATTAGAAAAAAGATCGATTTTATTTTCAAAAAAATTGCGCAAAAAACAAATATATTATACATATGTACACAGAATAAGAATAAATAAAATTTTAAGTGTTTTTCCGAACGGTTTTATTTTAATACGACATTAGTAATTGCAATACTAAAAATAGAAATTTATTTTGTAATTAGCGGAGTTTTTGTTAATTATTAATTATTGAATACTTATTTAAGCGATACTTAAATTACATACACTTTTTTTGTGTTTGTTCTTTATTTGAAATATTTTTTATATAGCGTTTATAATAAAATATACTTATACTTAAAATATGAGAGGGAAAGAGAATGAATGATTTTATGTAGTAAATTTATAGAATCAAAAATTTAGACTATAGATTTATAATATCAATGATTTATAATATGTATGTACGTGTGTATATGCGCGCGTGTATGTCTCAAAGGTGATATATAGTGTGAAAACGGTTTATATAGACGCTATAGTGTTGGAAAATTTAAGAGGTCAATCGAGGTTTAATTCACAATATTGTCATCTATAGCTGTCTATAGATTGCATCATTTAAATTTATGTCTCTAAACAGTCTAAATCCACTTTACATGAAAGTGGTAAAGCGTTGCGAAATTATTAGAATGCACGGTTTAGGTATAACAGTAGGTAGGTGTAAAGTATCATTTTGTTTCAATCGATTTAAAATTAAACATGAAAGAACGCGGGGTCTATACGCGCGCGCGAAAAGAAATAATCGAAGCTACCTTGTCCTGCTACAACAATAATCGCAGCTGTGTGATTTAGTATGTCCAACGCAATTGAAGGGAATCTTATCACGTGCGTTACCTAGCGCACGTTATGCCCTCAATTATACTCACAACTCACAAGTATTCCTCTTGAAAGTTGGTATTACTTACGTAGCGTTGTTTTCTAAAAGTTTTATCTTTTATTTCAAGGCAATTGGAAAAAAAGTATGTATGACTGATAAATTACGCGGCGGACTTTATTATGATGTTGCTCGGATTAAAATGACATCGTAATAGTGTTCAATCGAATCGCAAGTCTATATCGAACAATTTCGTTTGCCACTTCTATCTTAACTGTCATATCCATGACTGTTAGACTGTCTACCTCTATATTTGATAGCGTATATGTCTTAAATAGTTAGAGGTTAGTCAGCTCTAAGTATTCTTTAACACGTTATTCATAGTTCGAGTAGCGCACGCAGTTAATGCTAATCAAAAAATTGTAATAGAGAATAATCTAAAATGATCAAACTTATTTGACATTGCATAATTAAATTGTTTTATGTAAAAAAAATAGTAAGACTTATTTTTTTACTTGAATTTGTCAAAAGTTTGAGAATACGAAACAAAAATGCTGTTATATTTACGTAATTGAACAAAATATGCCATATTATATGCTCTATATACAATACATACTTTCTACGATCGACCACACTCCCTCCCCTGAGCATATGTTGGATAGAAAATAGATAGCTAGAGTTCGCTGATTCTGCAAAACACACATAATATACATATGTGTGTTTGTACATTTTTTCTGAAAATTTATAAACCGATTTTATAGCAAAGTTGCTATTTTTAGAATTAAAATAAATGACGCAATAGCGATGCGCTTGCATATGAATGACGAAACCGAATCGGAAAGTTCTCGGATGACATTAAAAGTTCAACTGCGATTGCTATATTTCTTCCGGCGCGAGAAAGTTATATTAGTAGGGACAATCGCAAACTAGATGAAGCCGATTTTCGCAAATCGAGTTTCTTCTCTCAAATAAAACGCTTGCTTCACAGATTCAGAAAATCAAATAATATATCTTCTCAACAATTTATATCAATAGATAATATCTGTTAATATTATACCTTTCAACAGCTCTATTATCGCAAGATACAATATTAATGGATGTTATTAAATCTTATATGCTAAATTTGATTGTGTAACAATTAAAAGAAAACATCATTAAAAGGGATCTCGAATTGCGAGATTACGTATTCCAGATTCAGTTCACATCTGTATTTTAAATACGATAATCATTAATCGGCATGCAATTTGTTTGAGCTGGAAATTATAAGATTCACACACACACACACATAAATATTATTAAGCATCAAGATCTATTTTAACTGTTTTCTTAGCGTTTTCTAATCTTGGTTATTTGAATTTTTCGCGGCCAATTCATACTAATGTTTATTGTGTACGTTATATATTTTTTCATAATTTATGAACAATTATCTTTTTTTTTTGCTTACAGCCCCTCGTTGCTACCATCATTTGGACAGTTTCAATTACTAACGATTTGACATCAATCATCAGAAGATTTTTTGTAAACGAGAAACCGACAAGGGCAAAGCCAAATCGCCCTGGAATATACGTTAAGACTTGCCGAACGAGAATTGCATGATCGAATCGGCGATATCCTGCAAGTGCTTCTCATTGTGAGATAGCACATTCCCGCGAAATAATCATGTGACTGTCGACATCTCACATCCAACCGATCTCTACCGAGGGATGTTCTCCTCCGCGGATACCGCCTGCACGGACGCTGAGGAGGACGCCGAGGATGTGGAGAACGACGTCGCGGGTACAACGGCGCAGTCGTCACGTTACCTGTCGTCGTCGTCATCGTTGTCGTCGTCGTCGTCGTCGTCGTCGTTGTCGTCGTCGTCGCGAATTCGTCACCGTCGCCGCGAGAGCGATTACTTGGAAGGATTGCGGTTAAATGGGTCATCGGTCGTGTATCGTCCGCCATCGTCCGACGACACTTCCGGGAGCACTGTCGAGGACTCACGCCCATCGATGTCTTGGGCGCGCGGATAAGAAGAGGGCATCGTCCCGCTGGTCCCGCTCACCACGATCGACAACACACGTGATCATCTTCGAGGGACGGTCAGGTGGATCGATCGGCGCCGCACTCCGATTGATCATCCACCTCCTCCTCGTTCCTCGCGACGGCTCGATTGTCAGACTCTTCCAGCCGATATTTATTCCGCACGGATTCGACGAATTGTACGATCGCGTCCACGAACGAGCGACTGTTGGGCCGATCGTTAGATCGGTTTGTCGACCACGGTCGACAATAACGATCAGTGGTGTTTTTGAGACGAGGTCAGGAAAGTCGATAAACGAATTCGCCGAATCGAGCGTGCGCGGTCAGGCACGTGTGACTGGAATTTCGAATGAGTATCAAACGTGCAAATCGATAAACGAATTTGAAACGCGCTCGAGAATCCTCGAAAGGCCAGGTGGACCATCGACCAGCAACGCGCCAGTCGCCGCTGGTGTTGAGCGGTCCTTTGGGTCACTACTAATCCTCTCGAACATCATCGGCTTCCCCGTTGAATTGTCAATCCGATTTGTAAAATCGACCTGGCGAAAGAATAATAAAAACTGGCTCGAAAGAATCGTCGATTTCAAGAAACGAATCTCGATAATCGCACGACTGATCTTCGCCTTCCATCGATTATCAAACGAGCAAACAATTATACGTGTTGAACACGTGTCAATTTTCTTAGATAAATTGAGCGAACCAGTAAATCACTTTTTTCAACCAGCTATTCTCAAGACGATCAATTTCTACGAAACGATCTGTTTTTCCTTCTTCTCGTCGAGAAAATCGTTGATACACATAGCTGCCCCATTCCGAGCTGCCGTGATGATGTCAGGAAGGAGGACGTCGTTCAGGTGACGAAAAAAGTCGTCGCTCCCACCTTCGCCATTATTTATCGAAGAATCATCGACGGAAGCTTTTTTCAACTTCCATGCGATCGTTTAATGGGATAGTAAACGACACGAGGATCCACGGCAAGAAAAATCTCTCAAGAAATTCGCCTTTGTTTTTTTTTTGTTACTCGCAAGTTTCGGTTGATAGAAAAATCGTGGACACAGCCGTGATAATCTTTAATGCCGAAACAAAACGCCAAAACCGAATCAAAACTTGTTCCATAAGTTCTATAAGCAACAAAAAAAGTCTTATTGATTTGTCGAAAGTAATTGAGAAACGAAAAAAATGAGAAACTATCAAATTTTTTCTGTCAAGAGTGCTGCGAAATCATTTTATTACTGCGAAATTGTAAAATTCTTCTAAAAAAACTAATAATGAGTGCTTTTGCTTCAAAGAGTCACTTGTACGCAGTTACATAAAACCGCGTTAAAATTGTTTTAATGTATTCCAAACTTTTCCCGTGTAAGTGCTGGTGCAAATCGTACGATATCAATCTAATGAATTGTATGGTGAATCGTCACGTTCGAGTGTTATCACAAATGATTCCAAGTGCGTGAGGTGTGTCATCATTTTGTTACATGTATATCAAAAGATATACCTGAGGTGAATTACTAGTGAATTACAGCGAATGAAAAGAGAAAGAGAAGACGAGAAAATACGAAGAATTTTCGTTATGTGTCGCAGGCGGCTTATAATCATTCTAGCCGGCACAAGCTGGCCGAGATCCTGATAGCCATCGCAGCGACCAGGATCCGGGACCATTCAATAAAGAAAGGATGCCAGGGGGGCGTAGGGGCCTAGTAGCCCCCCAAAACACGTTCCTGGAAAATATCATACGACGGAGTAGCAGTCAACGTAAGTTTTTGTTTTTTCTTGCATTGTCGAAATATTGAAAAATAGATAAATCGATAAGTATATCCAAAAAAAGATGATAAATTCTTTAGCTATTGTAATATGTTAGACAGATTTTTGTGGAAATTTTTTAAAGCGCGTGCGCATTAATTTTTCGAATTATACGTGATTGATAAATAAAGAATCTTTATACACTGTTGAAGAAGCTAAATAGATAATAAAACACTTTTTAATTAATTTTACTATAAGTTTGTTTGATAAAATTTAATTTAAAATTTAATTATAAAGAAATATGATATTAAATATTGAGAGATTAAGACAATTGTCTGCGTGTGAGCTTCCGTCAATATAGTCTTGTCAGTGAAAAGATTAATGTCAAATAACAGTAAGCAAGTCATAAAATTATTTAAAAATTTTATAAAAATCTCATAATTTTAGCTTTAGTAAATGCATATAAAGCTTTTTAATTTATAATTGAGAATTCCGATAGAATAAAGGAGTAAGTAGAAGTGCAGAATTTTGTTATTTTTTTTATAAGTAATTTTTAATTTTTATATTAACCAGTTTGATGATGCAATTAATTTTATTTATTTTGGGAAAATGAGATAATCGTAGTGATACATGTTAATATAATTTGTCATTCTTACACATATATTTGTTTAAAATAAAGACAGAAATTATGTGTTATTTATTATACGAATTAATATTCTATATTATAATTTTGCATAATTAAACGAGTATTTGGAATTAATAATAATTTTGCTATTGTCGCGTGCAGATTTTATAGTATACAGTAACATTTCATATTACCATGTTACAAATTTAAACATTATAAATAAACCTTTTGGCAGTTACGGAAGGATTAAATCAAGCATGTAATTTAATATCGATTTTCCTAATTGGAATGTGTCTTAAATTTCCGGCATCTGCAGAAATTTCTCATATTCATACACGTTCGAAAATAGCAACAGCAATCGAGTTGACAGCGAATTTATTTAGTTGTTTTGCGATTAAATTAGCATTTTCTGTTTTTAAGAAAGGTATGCGCAAAATATATCACGTACAAATATTTCAAGTACCATTATAACCAATGATGTCATTATAACCTTGCAACTAAAATTTTGAAACTTAGAATTGATTAAAAGTTCAGTATTCATCAAAATTACATAGCTTCTGATTTTATTTCTATACTTAACTCATCAGAAATACTACTCATAGGTCGATATCGAATACAATTGCAAAAATCATCATATAATATAATCTGACATATAATATTATATAACGATATCCTTAAGAAAAAGAGTTCCAAAAAACTGATTGCTGTATCAGTAACTGATAATACAGCAACCTTACTTAAGTTACTGATACAGCAATCAATTTTTTTTTCTTAAGGATAATTTTATATTTTTCATTTAAAATACATATTATTATAATTTAATAAACATACAGTAAAATAAAGTTCCTAATAAGTCGATTTAAAGCTATACATGATGAGAAGATTATATGTGCAGAATATGTGCAGGATTATTTTAATCCCAAAATTGCAAATGGCTAAGTAAAGAGGTTTAACGTATTGCGGCGAGAAATTATATTTATATAATAATGAAATAATTATAATTTTATTAATAAAGGGGGAAAAAGAAGTTTATTTACTAATCCATCGCGTGACTAAACTATACGAAATTTCTATAGCTTTCGTTGGCGTTTGTCATATTTACGCGAAGTATCAGGAGAAACCAAGGAAAAGACCTTTTTATAGAGGCCGCGGAGACTCTTAAATTTCCTTTGACATGGAAGATATCCTGCTATGAAATCCCTTGCCATTTCTTCTTAAGGATAATAAATCGCATTTATCTTCGAGTGCTGCGCACGCATCATACAGGGTTATCACTTATCAGTACGCTTCTTTTCGTATCTTTGCGTGACGATGCTCCGATGTAGATTTATTTACAGACTCTGTTCTCCCAGAAACTGCTTTATATAACGAGAAAAACGAGGATCATATTAGTAAACAGTTTATAGTAACATTATCACTTTTGACTAACAGCTTTTGCGTACAATTACTCAATGTTCGAAAGATTTATATAAAATTTTGAGTTAGCATCAATCACATGATGATTATGATTGAGAATAATAAAAACAAAATAGTTTCTAATGATATAATAGTTATGATTATGTGCCAGTTAACATCAATGGATATTTTTTCACGGATTATTATAAATCTCTCTGAATTCATTATTGAAACAAATCTCATATCACCATTGATTTCATTTGATAAAGAAATGTGATGATAATTTTGGTTAATATTGCGTCTGATTTTACGCGAGCGAAACTTATATCAGACTAGATAGAAGATAAGGAAGAGGACAACAAGGGGATTTATATCAATTTATGATATCAAGCGTACACTTTAATAAAGTTACAATTACACTGTTACAAAGAGATCGTAAAGCCACTGCCGCAGTGAGTTACGCTGCAGTAATAATGTAATGGTATGGGAAATTATTAGCGATAATGATAATGCATATTTTCAACGACCCACTGCCCCGGAAGTAAATTACGCAGGGCTGCTGATGTCGATATGCGGAACCTGGCGAATAACGATGGGCCCGCTGCGCGCACGCGTGTGCAATATCTTTTTGATGCATTATCGTGATTGAAAATCATCAGCCAGGAAAATAATTTATATTCGCGAGACGAGGTCTGAACTGTCTACCATCCGTTAAACCAACGCCAGCTACTTGTCAACCGTACGAAACGTTTTGTGCCGCCGCGCTGCATAGAGCGTGGTGACTGATATGTCAATATGTATCTCGCGTATTGTATATTAGATCGGTAAAAAAGTTTTTTTCAGCTAGTTTTTCTGCAATTATTAATGGAATTGGATCCATCCGGTGGAAGAAAATGATCCATTGCATTCAATCAATGCTTTTAAAAACATTTACATGTTTTGATGTTGACTCTTGCAGAGTTTTTTTTAAAGAAAAATTACATAACGAATAATAATTCTGATTTACTCTAATTGATCTGTATTATACATTTGATTATACACATGTAGTACATGTTCACAGCAGACACGGTGTCGAGATCGCTCCGTGTACTTATACGTGAGCCAATAAATTATAATATTAGTCCCCGAGATAATATATAGTATTATATAATAACTTTTAATAACTTTGAGGACTTTATTGAAGATTTTTTCAATTTAACTTACGTTTATCTGCGACACGAATAATTGTATTGAAAAAGAAATTGAATCTTTTGTATACCAAAAGAGATAATTAAATGTTTTGATGAATTTTTCTTAAAAAAAAAATCTTTTTAATTTTACGTACTCATACATACATATATACATATACATTGGTCCAAAAAATTAAAGGATCACTTTTTCTCAGTAAATTTTTGTCCATTTTTAAACTTTAGTTACTCAGCAAATAATTGACGTAAAATATATAGATCAAGAAAGGATTTTACAGGGCAAACTCTCTACTATGAGATGCCTTTATTCAATTTTTATTCATTTTAACACTCAAAAGTGTAATCAACTTCGAATGAAGACATATTTGACAATTTGAAATCTCAAAATTTGTGGTCTTCCACCGGCTAATAAAACAATTGGCGAAAATAATCATTTAAATTGCAATATTTTGCTAAATAATCGGCAAAGGAAAAAGATTTTTTTTTCATTTGAAACAGCAAAGTCCGTACTTTGAGATGGTACCAATGATTATTTTTGCCAATTTTTTTGTTAGGCGGTAGAAGATAACAAATTTTTAGATTTTTTATGTCATTGCGTTTTCATTCAAAGCTAATCACACCTTTGAGTATTATAAACTGAGTAAGAATTAAACAAAAGCGTCTTATAGTAGAGAGTTTGCCCTCTAAAATCCTTGTTTGATCTATTTTTTATATCAACTATAGCATTACAAACGCATGCTTCGCGCGCGTTATTTAACACTTTTTACTACAATTTACAATTACACATTAACTTCAATACACGCAACTGTAAAAATGACAGTCACTCACAAAGACATCCAACTTCCTTCTTTTTTTCCTATCTAAAAATCACAGCCGCTTACACGAAGTAAGCGCAGTGAGACAACCAGCATCGCCGCGGAAAAGCGACAACAATAAACTTCGAGAAATGCGAGTAATCGACTTTACATGCATTTTTTTAAATAGGAGGATTAATCGCTGAGTAATCAAAATTTAAAAATAGACAAAAATTTACTGAGAAAAAGTAATCCCCTAATTTTTTTAACCAGTGTATTATCTTTATTTTATTGTATATTGGGTATCTCTTTATGCCTAGCTTTAGGGAGTGCTCAGAGGATCTATAATTTTCATAAAATATTCATGGCACGTCGATGCGACATCGTCGATGACGTCCAATTGTGAATTAATTTAACCGCTATAATCCTATCATTTACCCAAATTGTTTTGCGGTCTCTTTCAAAGCAAATCTATTCTATTTTATTAATCATGAAACTAAACGTTTTAAAAATTGTCACGACGAATTGTAATTCTGTTACGTTGTGTATGTATATATGTATACGTCTTATACGAAGACTCGCGAAAATGGATGAAAGCAGAATTATTAAACTACGAAAAAAGCGATAAAATCTTATTAGATCTAGGAAGGAATAAAATATAGTTGCGGGAAAGCATATGCCGGGGAAACACCTCTTGAAGAGAAATGATTGCGACAGACGACTGAGTTCAGTTAGCATGTTTTACTTGTTACAAGCTTTGCAGCGCTTTGAAACTCGGGGAAAGTTGGAAAAGCGTGCCATATGCTACCTATATGTTAGCTATATGTGACGAGTTTATGGCGCTGTTTTTACATTTTTTTCGCACACTTACTTGTAAATAAAAGAGATTTGCTATCGTGACAAATTGAAGATTATCCTTCATCGAGCTGAATTGTTATATTTAACCACTGCTGTCTGCATTCAAATTCTTGCATTTTGCTGCAAATTTACATATCTATATTTGCATTATGTTATAGATAACGCAAATGGATAATATGATATTGACATAATAATATTAGTTTTAGTTAGAAGTACTGAATATTTCTAATAATAGATAGTAATAATAGTTAATAATGCAGCAAATAGTTAATGGATAATTAATAGTGAAATTCGAGAAACAGTTGGTGAATGCCATAAATAAAATTTATTTAATATAAATAAATTTAAATTACAATAATAAAATGCAAATAAAAGGCGTAAGCATTCGCGTTGCTTATTTAATTTAAGAAGATATGCAGATGTCAAGGTGATTAAACTTGATAAGTTCATCAACTTTGCTATGTTACAGTTTCCATGAAAATTTTGCAGATTTAATTTTCAATTAAATAAATATCAAATTGAAACGAAGGTTTGAAGATCAACTATTTGATTAAGATACATTTCCGCGTATCAGATAATAGAAAAAATTAAAACATCTCTATCTATATGCTTTGCATGGATATAGTTTTTTATTTTATTAAAACGTATTTTGTATATTATGATGTTCGTGTTTTTAATAAATTGATAACAAGAATGTAAGTAAAACTACTAGCAAAAAAAAAAGAATGGTATTGCAATTTTATCAGTAAGTGAGATAGATAATAGTGTTGGATGTTTAATGTTGGATAGTTTTATTAAAATATGTGTGTATCAGTTTTTGTTTCTAATTCCTTAAAATAAACAAGCATATATTTTAACACAAAGTTAATTATGCAAAGTATGTACACGCGGCATAAATTATTTTACTTCACACTTCGAATGTCGAAACAGTCAATGTTATAGTTTGAATTGCAATTTTATACTTGACCTAGTATAACTTCTTTTAGTTCATGAGCTTACCCCCTTGCCCTCCCCCCCTCTGCGCGCGAACATCGATTCCAAGATATAACTTGCCAACCTGTTTTTTTATTCTTTAACCTTGAAAACACATTTCTCTCAGGGCCAGTGCGAGCGTATCGTATTGTGTCGGGTGCGCGATTCTTTGGACGATTAATATTATCCCATTTCGTTCGAAGGAGAGCCTGCGGGATTCCGGCGCCCAAAAAGATCAGATAGTGTCGATAAATGTTTTATAAACAAAATAGTACCGCTTTCTTTTCTGATAGGAAAAATCATCTTTCCCTGTACAATCTCGGTATGCAAAGATTAACATAAATATAAGTGTATTCTGTTTCTTCGTAAAAGTTATCGAAAGAAAAAATTATTACAGTAGAAAAGGAAATAAGTAGATCAGACTCACAGATTGGCACAGGTTGGCGATCGGATTTTGCACACCGTGTGTGTATGTGTGTATGTTTTACACACGCCCGCACGCACACAATGTGCAAAATCTAATTGCCAACCTATAGTACACATCGGAAATGCCGACCATACATGAGAAAAATACAAGGGTTATTTTAAAATGCTGTAACTTTGTGAAAAAAAATCGTAGCAACTTGTTTTTTTTTTCAAATTAAAGAGAAAGGTTCAAACTTTATGACGCTGTAAACCGCATCCCCAAGAAAAATTTCAGCAAATCTGTGCATTCTGTTAAACTTTGCAATTTTCAGTATGGTAACCATGCTCTCAGATTTAAGAGTTTACAGTATCAGGGGTGCATTAAATTTAAAATCGACCCATAGTACCTTCAAGTAGAGATTTCAAACTTTTATTTGAAAAAAAGTTCATCATTCTATAATGATTTTTCGCGGAGTTACCGTTAGTCAAAGTTGACCAAAGATCGGAAGAGCACA